TCCATAGTGATACTGCCTTGGAAACCCAAAGAGGGGTCACTATGAGTTGGGATCCAACTCAACTGCAGTGAGTTTGGTTTTGTTTTGGAAGATTGATTGTAAGACATGATTAAGAGAAATTTCTTAAAGTCCAGTGATGGAAATAAGTATATAAATCAGTGATTTAAATTAATGCAATAATTTATACAATAAAATCATTCCTAGACTATTTTGGGTACAAAAATATTCTCCTGAAAATATTTCATTAATATTTTACAAAAAACTGGCTATGACAACATAGTTTATTAACAAAGAACTAAAACACAATGTGACCATGATAACAGTCAATATGATTTTACATATACCACATATCTGAGCTGAATCTGTGTCATAGAATCTTCAAAGAAACCAAAAATGCAGCAAATCAGAACTTTCTGAAACAATTTAGATCCTTGCAGGCCTCTGATTATTTAAGTCTCAAGACTGTTTCTCATCTCAGAGTCATTTTCCAATCTCGCTATTCTTGCTGATGCCGTTACCAGAGATCTACTGTGTCTAAAGTCTTATTAAGAAAGCCATAGTAAACTTGACCTCAGGAGGATCCTCTTACTCCAGTTCTCCTTAAAATGTAATATACTTATTCTTTTCATTTCTGCTTTGATGAGAGGTAAAGAAAGTCTTGTCATTTTAAAGTGTTCTACTGCTGGTAACTATAAGGAAAGAAATGAAAAGTTACACATTAACCCATTAACAAACATTAATGTCCAAGTTTATAAATCATCACAATTTTGTTAAACTGAATTACTTTACATATGCCATTCTTTGACACTCAATCTATTCTATTTCTTATTATACTTAGTTGCCTTCTTGATCTATCATCTTAAGAATTACAAATATACCTCAATAAAGAACATTAGAGAGATAGATATTTTTAAGACACCAAAAAGAGGTTCTGACACTTAGAAGTGTCCAGTAGAAATAAGAATTACCAATATATGTGACTTACCAAAAAAGAAGATAAAACAATCCTATTAGTTGTCTACCTTCTAAGTACCGTAAGAGAACTAGATATGTGTACACAAAGGGGCTGAGATTGTTACTATTATTAGTCAAGGACAAAAAAAATATCTAGGTTGAGAGGATACAAGAGTAACTCTAAGGAATGGAAAAGAACTATGAAGAAAATATCTTAAGGTGAGCAGAGATACCTATAAATAAGGACTAATATTTGAATGCCTAAGTCATCTGAATGCTAACTAGAAGGTTGGTGGTTCAAACTCACCAGCCATTGTGCAGAAGCAAGAATAGACAATCTACTTCCATAAAGATTTACTGCCTCGGAAACCCAACGAGGGTTGCTATGAGTCAGAATCAACTAGATGGCAGTGGCTTTTTTTTTTTTTTTTTTCAGTATTTGAAATGAAGTGATTTGAGGGGAAAGATGACACTCAGAATCCTTTAATTAGATTTCTTATTTATAACTTGGTTTCAGCTGTTCAACTAACCTAACAGATCTTAAAAACAGAGTCCCCCACCAAAACAAACAAACAAACAAACTAGATGCTGTTGAGTCAAATCTGAGTCTTAACAAGCCCATTGTGTCAGAGTAGACCTGTTGTTGTTGTTGTTGTTATGTGCCGTCGAGTCGGCCCCGACTCATAGCGACCCCTCCTTGGGTTTCCGAGGCAGTATCACTACGGAAGTAGGATTGCCCAACCTTCCTTCCGAGGAGTGGCTGGTGGATTTGAACCGCTAGCCGTCTGGTTAGCAGGCAAGTGTCTTAGCCACTATGCTACCAGAGTAGACCTAGGGGTTTTCAATGACTGATATTTTGAAAGCAGATTGCCAATCCTTTTCTTCCATGTCATTTCTAGATAACTTGAACCTTGCAGTTACCAGACAAATGCACCAGGAACCATTTGCACAAGCCAGGGACTTCTTGTTGTTGTTGTTGTTGTTATGTGCCGTCGAGTCGGCCCCGACTCATAGCGACCCCTCCTTGGGTTTCCGAGGCAGTATCACTACAGAAGTAGGATTGCCCAACCTTCCTTCCGAGGAGTGGCTGGTGGGTTTGAACCGCCAGCCATCTGGTTAGCAGGCAAGTGTCTTAGCCACTATGCTACCAGAGCTCCCAGGGACTTCTTAGTGTATGTGAAATGGCAAAATATTTAGAAACAGACATTAGGAATTGAAGCCAAGTTATGTTGTTCGTTGGCCATGTGATGTTGGTTGAAACATTTCTCTTCCCTAAGTTTAAAGAGCTGTGGTGAACTAGGTTCTGGCAGAACCTAAAAAGAAAAAAAAAAAAAAGGAAACCAAACTCACTGCTGTCTAGTCGATTCAACTCATAGCAACCCCTCCTTGGGTTTCCAAGGCAGTATCACTACAGAAGTAGATAGTCCAATCTTACTTCTGAAGAGTGGCTAGTGGGTTTGAACCACCAGCCTTCTGGTTAGCAATCAAATGCCTTAAGGACTACACCACCAGAGCTAGCTTCCTCTACAATCCTTAAAATTGAGGGTTATAGGCTTTAAATCCTGAGCTTCCCTTTACTTGTATACAAGGCATTTGATAGAGTGTATTATAGGAAATTTATAACAGGGTCCATCTGAAAGGCTTTACCCTCGACATATTCAAGGCATTGCTATGCGCCTTGAGTACTGCACCATTCCTAAACTATTAGGAGTACCTTCTGGTTGAGGGAACACAGCAAATGGTGTACTCATGTTTAACTGGGTTGTAATGATTCAGGGTTACTTCCTGAATAGTTTAAGGTAAATTGTGCCTTTGAGGTATGTTCTGCCTCCATATCAAACATAGACTCTGGCTGAGGGTCATTTATCCAATATTTAAATTAGATTAAAAAGAGTATTGAACTGAAATAGATATAGGATTAAAAGGACAGGAAGTATGAAGTGACAGAACATTAACAGATGAGTGGATAGATCTTATCCAAGTCAATGATGTGTTCTAGAAGCCAGACAAAATGGCAAAGATGTCAAAAGATATATTAGCAGCACATAGATATTTATTTTTTTCTTTTTCATCTGTGTAATAATGAAGAGAGGCAGTAATAGCTGCTCAAGTATACACAATAGATTATGTCAACAAATTTTAGTCAGTTTCGTTGTCTTCAACCCTCAGCCAGAAGCCTTCCACCTCCTCTGCTCCTAACACCTACCACTCCCTTTGCTATGCTTAGCTGGCTACAAATAAGAACCCATGCTCTAAAACCTTACATACCAGCAGGCATGTCAAGGGCTTAGCAAGTCTTCCCCAGCACTCTTATAAACTCCATTTGCTCCAGTGTTTCTGTACTGTAGCCACAGCCTCCAGAGTAAAGACTGTATGCATTTGAACTCCCTGGAGATAGTTGGAGCCAACAAAGTTCTAATATCTGAATTAACTCTTTTCCAGTGAAACAGAACGGCATCAGATATAGATAGTGTGTGCTGTGATTCTGGACTCAGACTCCAAAATTAGAAGTAATGCTCTTGGATTAGCACATATGTTTGGGTCCATTGTTGTTGCTATTAAATGTTTCTAGAATTCTTATAATAAATTTACAGCTAGAAATTTAGTATTTTCTACTACCACCATCCCCAAGGACATAGCAAACAGATTTTTCCTTTAAGTTCTTTCTATACATAATGCCAAAGAACTAGAAATCACTATGTGATATCACATCAAACAGAGGTCCAGTGATGCCCTTCCTCACTACCACACATGTACAACAAAAACAAAAATCAAACAAAAGGACTTGGGTAATGCTGGAATGAGAAAGTCACTGGTAATTCAAACATTCCATAAAAGTGAAACTCTTCAATAGTGTGGCGGGAAAAAAAGACAGAGAGAGAGAGAGAGAGAGAGAGAGAGAGAGAGAGAGAGTCAAACTATTTATTAAAAGAATATTTTTATATTTTGTTTGCAAAGAAGTTCTACTAAGTCAAAATCCATAAGACTAGGCCTATCAAATAGCCAACCAAACACATCTCTGAGTTATCAAAGACTATGTACATTTACTAGGAGCTTTGGTAGCATAATGCCTAAGGCACTTGACCGCTAACCAGAAGGCTGGCAGTTCAAACCCACCAGTCACTCCTCGGAAGGAAGATGGGGCAATATACATCTATAGTGATACTGCCTCAGAAACCCAAGGAGGGGTCGCTATGAGTTGGGTCTAACTCGACAGCACATAACAACAACAACATATAAATTTACTAAGATTCCTAAGCTTATATGATTCTGTTCATGGGGAAAAATCCCATCTTTCTGAAATGATTGTCATATTCACACCTTATCTTCAGACATTAACATGGCAAAGTCAAGAATAAAGTTATTTTGGATTGGGAGTCCAGGAATATGAGAAGTTACTCAGTGGTCCTGTGTTTATTATTGGGACCGGTACTAGTCAGAGTGATGCACTATCATTGTTTAGACTCAGCATAAACCAAAACAACCAAACTCACTGCCATCAAGTTGGATCCAACTCATAGCAACCCCTCCTTGGGTTTCTGAGGCAGTAACACTACAGAAGTAGATTGCCTAGTCTTCCTTCTGAGGAGTGGCTAGTAGGTTTGAACTGCCAGCCTTCTGGTTAGCAGTCAAATGCTGTAGGCACTATGCCACCAGAGGTCAGCATATGGGGTGCTTTATACTTTTTTGTTTGTTTGTTTACTTGTTTTTGGTTTAAACTGAATCTGACTATGGAATGTGATGTGCTTTTCAGAATGGAAGTGGAAGAATGGGTTGGTTATCTTCTACACAAGGAACCTGTATCATTGCCAAAAAATGACAAAATGTAAAACACTTTTATTCCTGTGTTTGGTATGGACATGCTTTTAAAGTTCTGGGTTTGAGAAAGAGGCTGCACAAATCAAAGATTTTGTGATTGACATGCTTCCTCCAAGGTAGTCTGGGCTATATTACAAATGTTTTCCTCCCATTCTTAACATAGAAAATCGGTGCCACTCTTTTATTAAATTTGATGTTTTATGAATACATGAGTTATGTTTCATATATTAGAAAATATTTTTTACCACTTGTACTATAATTTGTTTAGTTCTGACACTGTAAATTACAGGATTGAGAGCAGGTGGAATGACCACATAGAAATTAGCAAGAAGGATATGAATGTAATGTGGTATATTATGGCCAAACCTATGGGTCATGAATGAAAAAAATGCAGGTGTGTAGAAAGCCAACATGACACACACATGAGAGCCGCAGGTGCTAAGCGCTTTCAGCCGAGCATCTTGAGAAGGGAGTCAAAAGACTGCACGAAGGATTTGGACATAGGAGATGACAATGGCTATGATATCAAAAACCAGGATAGAAATGGCACATAAGCCATAGAGGATGTTGACCTTGATACTGCTACAGGACAGGTGAGCAATGCCCATGTGCTCACAATAAGTATGAAGAATAATTTTGTGTCCACAGAAGGGCAATCTTAGTATGAGCAGAACAAAAGGAATTGCAATGGCTGAAGGTCTCAAGAGGATAATCAATGCTATAATTGATACCACCTTGTTTGTCAGCAGCAGTGTGTAGCGAAGAGGGTTACAGATGGCCACATAACGATCAAAGGCCATGGCCACAAGCACAGCTGACTCCATGCCAGTGCCTAGGTGGATGAAGAACATCTGAATGAGGCATCCCTCAAAAGAAATTTCTCTTAAATTCAGCCAGAAGATGCTAAGCATCTTGGGGATGGTGGATGTGGATAGTCCCAGATCGATAGATGACAGAATGGCCAGGATGTAGAACATGGGTTGATGAAGGCTAGTCTCAGTCTGAATTGCAAAAAGTATGCAGATATTTCCAAGGACAGCTGTCAGGTACAAGGCACAGAAAGGGAAGCCAATCCAGATATGTACATGTTCCAGCCCAGGAATGCCAAGAAGGAGGAAAGATTAGGGGTGAAATAGAGTGGTATTGAGTGGGATCATCATTCTGGGATCTTTTTTAGCAAAATATACCATATACCAAGTGTCTCTCATTCATTGAGAGGCCACTGAAAGCACAAAAGGAAAAGAGAAAAAAAGGAAATAAATCACCTATATTCTGCAATAGATATCATTGTATTGTAGAAGCCCGAAACTATATAAAATTTACTAGTAAAATGTAGTCAGATGATTTCAAAATATCTCAAATATACATTCAATTAAATTCAACATTTTAATTCAACAAACATTATCTACCACATATGTGTCAGTTTCTGTCCTAAACATTTACTGTGAGAGATAACTAAGAGAAGATACCCTTCCTTGTGGAACTTAAAGTTGAGTAGTTGAAATAGTTATACACATCAGTGATTTAAATTACTGTAGTAATTTCTAAGATAAAGTCCTTTCTCAGTTACTTTGAGTACAAAAAAGTATTTTATTGTTATATGGAAAATTGCTTATGACTATATACTTTATGGACAAATAACAAACACACAGTAACCATGGTGGAAGTCAATATGATTCTACATATACCACATATCTGAACTGAACATGTATCATGGTATCTTCAAAGAAACCAGAACTTGCAGTAAACCAGAATTTTCTGAAACAACTTTGTATCCATGCAGGGCTCCCACTGTTGAAGCACCAAGACTATTTCTCATTTTGTAGTCATTTTCCTGTTTGTTTTTGCTGATGGTGATATCAGAGCTTTACTCTGCCTACTGTTTAAGGAAGCCACAGTGGACTTACTCTCAGTAGGACCTTACTCCAGCTCTGCTTATAATGGAAAGTGCCCATCCTTTATTTATGCCTTGATGATAGGCAAATAGAGCTTTCCCATTTTAAAGTGTTCTCCTGCTGATGACTGTAGAGAAAGAAGTGAAAAGTTACACATTAGCACACACAAACACTAAATGTCCAAAGTTATAAACTATCAAGATATTGTCAGTCAAAGTGAGTTACTTTGCACATACCACTCTTTGACACTCAATCTCTCCTATTTTTTACTACACTTAGTTACCTCCATGAATAAATTTGCTTTGGCAAGAGCACTGGATGGATAGATAGATAGATAGATAGATAGACTGACAGACCAACAGACAGACAGTCAGACAGACAGATAGATAATTTTAAGATAGCATAGAGGGTTTCTGACACTTAGAAATGCTCAGTAGAAATAATAATAAACAAATTTATGAGAATTGCCAACAGGGAAGGGAATCTAATCCACAAAACTAGGTGCCTACATTCTAAGTAGCATAAGAGAACTGGAAGTATTCCCAAGAAGGAATTGATTTGAGATTGTTACTGTTTTTGGTCAAAGACAAATAACTAGATTGAGAGAATAGAATAATAACTCTTAGAAAATGATAATATCATCCTTGATATGCGCAGAGATATTTATATACAGAGAGTGATATTTGAATTGAGGGGATTTGAGGGGGGAAAGGAGGTGGAATTCTTTAATTAAATTTATTCTCTGTGACTTGGATTCAGCTAATTTAACATATCTTAGAAACAAATAATAAAACTATAATTGTTTTGGACTCATGACAACTCTAACTCGACCCCTCTCAGTCCGAGAAGAACTTGCTCCAGAGGATGTTCAATGACTGACATTTTGGAAGTAGATAGCCATCCCTTGCAGCCGAGTCACTCTGGGTGAAATGAACCTTTCAGTGTGCAACTGAACATGGTAACCATGTACTTCATCCAGGAAATCCTTGGTGTGTGTGACAAGGCATCAGGTTTAGAAAAAGACACTAGGAATTTTGTTCAAGTTATATTGCTCGCTGGTCATGTGGTGTAGCATGAGCTATATTCCTTGGCTAAATCTAAAGTTCTTCACTGATGAAATAAGACTAGAGTACCTTCATTCCAAGATGGCTGCAAGGCACATCTGCCTGACCCAGGATGGATCATTAGAAAGTGTAGTTACAATAACTGATTGATCTGTTGCTTAGAGAACATGGTAAAATAAAGATTTTTAGTCAAGTTAGTTCTGATTTAAATTGCTGTATAGTCTTCAATACAGACGGATACCGACTTTAAATTTTTAGCCTGCCTTTATCTGCATATAAAGCTTTTGACAGAGTGTATTATAAGATTATAACATGGTAAATCTGAAAGGTTTATCCTTAGACATTCAGGGACCTTAGTATACACCTTGGGTTGTTGTTGCTGTTATTATTATGTGACATCGAGTGGGCCCCGACTTATAGCGATCCCTCCTTGAGTTTCTGAGGTACTATCA